TTGTGGGACCATTGGTTTTTGATTTTTTTTAAATCAAATTTTTGAGCTAGAATGGTCTTCTTCGAACTTGATCTGTCTTTTTATGATACAAAACGACGCTGAAAATCCCAGGTCGCTAGCTCAGCGCGCAGGGTTTCTCCTGCACCCCATTCTGCCGTGTCCGCCAATGCACTGAGGAAACGGTCAATGCGAGCCTCCAGAGTGTGCACGTGTAGATGGCCGTCGACTTCCTCGTACTCAGGGAAACGTTGGCTTACTTCCTGGAGGGTGTTTTCGAGGAACATCAGCCAGTCAGCCCGATCGTCACTGTTGAGTCGACTCCTAATGTGCTGGACTACGTCTCGTCGGAGTTGGAACACTTGGTTGTTGAACTCGTTAGATGAAGGCGCCGTGCCGTGGAGTTGGTGCACCAGGGAAGCAAACATGCAATGGCCATCATTTGGCATCCTTGCCACAGTCACCGTTCGGCCGCCAACGTGGTCACCAACCTGCCGTTCATAAAAGCAACATCAAAATTAGCATATTGACTGACTTTCTTGCTCTTACTATTCACTCGAAGGTGATGTGTACCTGCACTTATCTAAATAGCAAAAACTAATGCAAAATTAACCCGTTGCAATTAACTAAATTTAAAAATCGGAAACAATCACACACAAACGTCAAAATCTGACAACTTTTCAAAATATGTCAGTTTTAATCAGACAATCTGAAACAGACAATCACACACAATCGGAAACAACCACACACAATCACACAACCTCACACACACACTCGTCACAATCTGGCTCAATTTTCCCAAAATATATCATAGTATTTATCAGACAATCTTAATCAGAGATCATCACACACACACAACCACACACAGATGGCACAATCTGACACTATTTTCAAAAATGTGTCAAAGTATTTCAAAGACAACCACACACACAACCACCCAGTCACAATCTGACACAATTTCTTAAAGTATGTCACAGTATTGGTACTGGTACACACATAAACGCATTCTTTGCACCGATAAATCAACATTGTGCTTCAAAGCCATAGCCCGCTGTTTGTACAATAGATCCAGTAATACCATATGATTTTGCAGTTTAACGGTGGAACTGTTATCGAGCAATCTACAATCCTATCACCCCCTTTACCTTACTAAGCTGAATAAGTGACGCGAAATATATTCATTCGATGTAGAATCGTACACAAATTGCAAAGTGATTTGTGATGAGTTTTGTAGTCTGCTTCATCAAAGTTCCACCGTCACTTTTTCTACTTTGAACAAACAAGAGTGCACCAAGCAGGCTAATAATCGAGGGGTTGATGAGGCTAAACATTTGTTTGAACTGTTGAAAAATCTTAAAATAAAGGCAAAACCGACAATTTGAAGATGGGATTGCTCTAGGCAGAGATATTAAATATCCAGAAAAAGAAGACTGCTTTATTTTCATGAATATGGAAGGTTACAGACTCTATGTTGGAGGCCCACCAACTTCAGATAGCTGACCTAGACCTATTCAAACCCTGGTTGCAATCGTCCTCCATCGCCACATGGATACCAGAAGGAAGCATAAAGAAGAGATGCAGGAACTCCAAAGACAGTTAAATGACAAGACTGACATTAGTCATTGTAAGGATGCTGAGGTCCAAGAACATCAGCGTCAGCAGTCTGTGGCCAAAGATTCATTAAAGCAACTTCAATACAGCAAAAGGCGACATGAAGATGAGCTTAGTATGTACTTCTAAAATATTCCTATCCATGACATGTTGTACATTACATTGCTGCTTACATATGTGAGCCTTTTCAGGGACCTTATCTTCCAAACTTCAAGGATTCCAGTCATACAATCAGTCAAACTTATCTTCATTTGGTCCCTACATGCCAGTATTAGTTCGACAAATATAAATGTGTAACAAGTTCAAAAGGGGACAATGCGGTGCCAATTCAATCCTGACGCGGTACTCCTCATTGCTGTCACTGGGACTAGATATTATTCTTTACATTTCTACAAATAAAGCTTCAGTTACTGCCAAGCACAATTAACCAATTAAAGGTTCATTTATAGTTGTCCCAACATAACTTTTCAGCCCTTTGTCTCACGGTATGAGCCGGGAGTTGAAGGTTGAAGTAATACTGGGACAACTACAACTTCAATCACACAACACTCACACACCACACACACACCACACCACACACACACCACACCACACACACACAGTATTGGTACAAATGTCCTATTCTACTAGTCCCAACATACTTTCAACGCTTCGTCTCACGGTATGGCTGGAATTCTGCCAATCGGTTTTACAAAAGCGATATCTATGGACGAAAAATAATAATTAAAAAAACATCGATTTGTATGGTATGTCAATATTACACTTGCATTTTAAACTTTTCTTCCTTATCTTTAAAATTTCCTCTTTAATGTATTTTCAGGACCACCACTTGTTTCTTTTTCGAAGTCTATTCTGAGCTCTTGTGATACACTGGACTGTTACCAAGTTAGGTAACTGTCGTCTTGAACAATACATAATTTACGTTTGAAGCCAAGACAGCAGGATAGATGCCTGTGGCAGCCAGGATAGCCGTTGCTGAGAAGCAGCCAAAATATTTCAACTCCTAGTGAAGTCACAGCATGAAGAACTTATGACTAGGGAACAAGCTTTGCTGCAGAGAAATAGTCTTGATGACATTCCAACAAAATTCGTAGATGTTGGGATCTCAAATGTAGTTGCAGGGAATTTCTGTTTGCTCCCAAGAAGACAGCAGGAAAGAAGCCATCGGCAGCCAAGAAGGCCGTCACTGGTAAGAAGCCTTAGGCTGTACCAAAGCACCTGGAAGACAAAAGAAATTAATAGGCAAATGTCTCTATTGAATATTTATCACACTTGACTTGATTTAACAAAAAGGGTAAAAATTTTGAAACTAAATACTCTTTTGTATTTCATATTTTCAGTGGCTCAAAAAGTTACCATTCCTATCAATTGCTCAAGCACAACTAAATACAGATATTGCAACTGCATTCAAAATTAACAGCTCTGGAAAATGTATCGATACCCCCTATGAAAAACCGCTTACCGCCTCGGCGGCTGCGGACCAACGCTCACCTCCTCCCCGCCTGCGGACAACCGCTTACCTGGCTTGGCGCTCCGGATAACCGCTTAAGTCGCTTTTTCACCGAAAACGTAATATTGGTATCATTCGAAAGAGAATTTCTGCCTCTTTCGAATGATACCAATATTACGTTTTCGGTGAAAAAGCGACTTAAGCGGTTATCCGGAACGCCAAGCTAGGTAAGCGGTTGTCCGCAGGCGGGGAGGAGGTGACCGTTTCTTTTTAGAGCCCCCGAGGCGGTGAGCGGTTTTACATAGGGGGTATCGGTATGCCTATACACTCACTAATTCTAAATAAGGGGTGAGCAAAAATATCCAACCCGATTACTTACCTTAAGAATCAACAAAACAACTGAAGACAAACTCGTTCCGTTCAGTGTCCCAAAGATGCAAGTTCAAAATCCATCCAGGCAGGAACAAAATTGCCAGTTGGCAAGGCGCCCACACCTAGAATACAAAAATTGATGTATGTAACAAAAGACTTAGTCAAACAAGCATCACACGAAGAGGTACATACAATTGAATCTTTGTTTTGATAAACATGCTTATTCTTAACACTATATGCTCCAACAGGATCCAAAGCAGGGGGAGACGACGGCGAGGTCGATCGTGGAATCGTGCTGTCCAGCCGTGCCGATGCGGGTGGCGGTCTGGTCGTTGAGGATAGTGAGTCGGTTCAGGTCCAGCCAGGCGACAATGTGCGCACCGCGCTGATCATCCCTGGGGCAGTACCACGCTGCGCAGTGCGCGTTGAAGTCGACGAGGATCGCCACCCGGGGCGGAAGCGCGTCGAGCAGCCGCAGCCACGCCAGCGGGGACGTTGCCCGCTCCAGACAACGCGTACAAGCTGGCGACGGTGATGCTGTCGCCGCCGCGGCTGTGGATGGTAGCTGCGGCCACCTCTAGGGGCGCGTTCGAATAAGGAAAGTCGGGGAGCGACTGATCGAGCGAGCGAGCGAGCGGCACGGAGCGCTGAGATGCGCATATCGCATGTTGTACCCAAATTTACCTCGAAAGAGGGTCGACACGAATATTTTCGGACAGAGGAAAGAACGATAGGAACATTACCCGTAGAAATATCGGTAGTTTGAATCAACATAAACAAGAAGACCCGTTCGGAAGGACGATGTCGCTTCCAATGACGATACCAGCGCGCTCTCTGGGCACAATCCATCTTGTTTGTTAATCGTCCATCCACTGTGGTCCTTTTAGAATGTTCAGAATACTCTTGGCAAGTACAAAATATTAGTGCAAAATTCAACATTTAGTTCAAATATTAAATTGATTACAGTTGAAGGTCTTAACTATGGATGTGGATGAGGAAAAGTCAGGTGAAGGTACGTTTATGACCAAATTCTTTCAATTTAGCCTACCGGCAATCCGGCATAACCTTACGCACCACGAGGAAACCCAGAATTCCAATCTTAAACATGTAATATACGGCCTAATATCACTGCTTTTTGTTTTGTAGAGAGCGTGAGTGAGAGCCCTCTTCGAAAAAGACGTTGTAATATGCTATCTCCTCAAAAGTTATTGTGGAATGTTGATGCCTCTGTGATGGTTTAAATCTTTCTATCAATTTCATTGAGGTAATATTCTTATTTCTTCCTATATGGTCTTTCGTTTAAAAATCATACAGTTTGCATATGTTTTGTGTTATATTTCAGTTAACCTTTAAATGCACATTGGAGAAAATGAGGATCAAGAAAAAGATTTGTAGTGACACAAAGGTTACTATCAAGCGAGTCCTCAAAACAACTATTGTAAAGAAAGTCATGAGGTTTATTTGGAGGTAAGTTCATACTCTTGTCATATATTATTTCTTCCTACTTCATCCTTGTAGTAGCTTGCGACTATGCTTAACTTGTTATTTTGTTCTTTCCTTTTTTAAATACTTAGTTCCTCAATTCAAATTCAAATATAGCAACTGCGATGTGCCATCTCAGTCAGAGATAAAAAATTACATTTTTCCGTTGTGAACTTTGTATTGAACCTGCTGTCCACGGGATAGACACACAGTTTGAACAAGGTGTGTCCTTCTTCTCTTCTTCTTGTATTAAAGAATGTTTATTCTAATTAAGGTGTTTCTGCTCAGGTGCTACATTGTAAAGCACCAAGTTGTATTTCTACCTTTTTCAGCAAACACTTCATTACATAATATGTTCAAGAACATGTCACCCTTTGAAAAAACAGGTAAATTCTTATTTCGATGTGTAACTTTAACAATGAAGTACTTGATGATGTAATAAATTGTTTTGTTTTGCTTTTAGCCAAATTCCAAGAGGATGACTTCAAAATACCAGTTGCAGAATCTGAAGTTTCAAGAGGAAATGCAGCCAAGAGGAGTATCTTATCAACATTGCCAGAGGAAAATTTAGTGCAGGAAAATGATGATCTTGGTGTACATCCTTTAAAGGATGAAGTCAATGTCAATGGCGCAGAAGAAGTAACTAATTTAAATAATGAAAATGTTGATCGTGACATAAATAAATCAAAGGTTGACCAGGTCAGTGGCACTGAAGAAAGAGAAAATACTAAAATTGTCAATGATCAACACGAAGTAAATACATTACTGGGCAATGGAGATGAATACTTCCAAGGTATTTCGAACACACCACCAGGTCAGTTTCCAAATGAAGATTCTTAGAAAGATTCAGTAACTAAACATGGAAAAATCAAATCCAACTTGTGCCCACATCTCAGGCGAAGATCCAAGATCTGGATGCACGGTTTGATGCGGTGAGACGTTAATGTCATAAGATGTAAATCTAGCAATCATCTTTCGAATCCTAATAGATTTTGTTATTTTGGTTGCAGGATAACATCATATATGACATTCAAAAATCTGTGTGGAAGTACACCCATGTGAAAAAGCCGACGAAATTTATCATTTCATATGATGTGAAGGGTGAAGACACATTGACTATTACTGTAAGTTACTGTATCGTGAGCAGTTCTAATTTTTTCTTTGAAGTGCTCCGTAAATGTGAATAACAAAAGAACAGAGATTAATGTTGTTCCAAAGTGCCACAATAAAAACTACCCAGTGAATACATACCATTTTAATTTTTAGGTTGTGGCATTCTACCCTGTTTGTGGTTGAGTTGGCCAAATTTACACTTCCTTGTTTGTCCTTGTAGGCCCAAGCCTGTGGACATTTTGCCCAGTTTCCATCAAAGTCTTGCCAGAAAGTTTTCGAGGCCACTTTCTCTAGTTCTTCAAGAGTAATGTCATAATCACGAGGTTCAGCATACTTGAGGGTCTCCAGTAAATCTTTAACTTGTTGACTTTCTTTTGTACTCTTTTCTTTAAAAATTTTAGAAACGTGAAACAGACATAGCTGAACTTGAGCATTTGAAAGTATTCTGCTGATTGCTCCAATTTCAGGTGAGTCCTTGTCAATAATGACAGTCTTGGTTTCATCGGCTACTTCAACAGACACTGCCTCCTTGAACGCATTAACACCTCACTGACTGTGGTCAATTGCTCATTTAGAACAAACACATAACCTGCCACTCGGCCAGCTCCCTCACCGTCCATCACCATGAACACACAGACAGGCATCTTGTTCTTGTTAACCTTGTAAAGGTGGAACTCCAATGGAGCGCGCTAGGCGCCCATCACCCATCACCCATCA